CTCACAGTTTCAACCTCCCTGATGGGTCAAAAAAAATAGACGTTCCACCATGCGCCATCAGGAGTGCAGATAACTTTCAGATGCTGCAAAAATAATTTCATATGCCCCAAATGAAGATATTTCTTCCTGACCCAAGCTACAGTAGATAAAGAGATTTGGGCAGCCTTGATCATCCATCAAGATAACGCATAAGCAGATGCAAATTTACCCTTCCAAATTCCTGCATTTCTTTGTTGCTGTTTTGGTTTCTGTTTCTTTCGTTTTTAAAACAGCAGCTGAGAGGCCTCAAGGATCAGTAGGTAGGCTTGGAAGCCCATGGGCAATACTTGGGAGCAGGGCAGAAGGCAGAGAGAAGCTAAGCAGGTTCTCCTGTGGGTGAGGCTTTCCTGAGAGGAGGGTTCTTACACCCTGTTGAACATTCTGCCTGCTACCACAGATAGAAGCGCAGAATAACATTTCACCAAATCTTAGGCAATTGTCATGGTCATTCAACATGGCTGCTCATCAATTCTCACTCCCTTTGATCCGGAGCAGGCCAAAGCATTTGGCTGACCTAGTCTGGACTCAGAAACTCAGCAGGGTCTTGCCTGGTTTGTACTTGGAGGGGAGACTACCAGGACGCTCCTCAGGATATGGGGTAGCCTGGGAACTTTAAAAAAAATATCTAGATGGTAGTAATGGTAAAGCATTTCTGTATTGTTGCCAAACTTATTTATTTATTTAGCATCTTTATATAGCCGCTCATCTCAAAAAAGCATGACTCAGGGGGGGGTACAACACAACAACAGTTAAAAACTCCATAACTATCTAAAAACAAATAAAATAACACTGATAAAGTAAACAGATAGAATAAGCTGATAAAACCCAAGAAAACGGGAGAACAAACATCACTTCATCTCATACAGCCACCTTGCAGGCTGTCCTGCAAGGACATCGCTAGGATCCAACCACACAACACCCGCTGCCCCAGGCAGCTTTAGTTAGCCAGGAGGGGCTTGGATCTAAGGAGTAAGTGGCTGAGCTCACAGTCATAAGGACCCCATCCACTTCCTCAGGCCCAACAGGATCACACTTTCCCAGATAACTGGGCAAGACCATACCCCAGTCATCTCCCCTGGACCTGGACCAAACCTGGCATCTACCCTGGAACAAACGTAAGTGATTTTATCTGACAGATGCTCTGCAAATTCCACCACACAGCCTTGTAGGTAGACATCCGAGTCCCCCTTCCCCAGGAGGACTTGGATCACCTTAAACAAGGCTGCCAGTTGGCTATCTACAGATACAATTAAGGCAGAGAAGTATTGTCACTTCACTGCCCTTACTGCCCACAAGGTAGGCCTTAATAGCGGCTCTTACCTGTGTTTGGCTGAGTTCATCCCTTGTTATCCTTCAGCGGCACTCTACACATCTCTTCTCTTGTTTCATCTCTCTCAGCTCCTCCATGAACCATGGGGAGCGGCGGGATCCATGAGAGGAGAGAGGTCGCATAGGCACGATCTGATCCAAAGCCTCAGCTGCGCTCTCATGCCAAGCGATGGCTAAGGTTTCAGTTGGGCCATGTAGCAGACTGTCAGCAATAACCTCCAGCATCCTCTGGAACCCATCAGGACCCATCAGTCACCAGGGGCAGACCAATCTAATAGGTTCTACCTCCCTGCAGCAGTGCCAGAGAATCTCCTGGTCACCAGGGCATGATCTGACCATGACAGGGGAGACACCAAGAACTCTTCCACTTCCAGAGCTTATGTTGAACATATCCATATAGCTACCAAAGGTCAAGTCTAATTTGCAGACTTGTACCTTTTAAGACCTGTTGGGGGATGATATGATAATTTTCATGTTCCTCCATTTGAATGAATGGGAGCAGGACTGCATCAACAATTTATGGCCACTGTGGTCACAGAGGGTCTGGGGAAGGCACAAAAAAGGAACTTGAGATCCTTCCCTTACCTACACCTGCTATAAAGTTTCACCTTCAGTTTAGTCTCAAGGGCTCTTATTTAAATAGCCTGTGAAATGGGTCTAGGCTATGCCAGGAAAAAACCACCCCCCAACACACATCTACCCTTTCAACACAGATTTACTCTTCAGATTATTATAAATCAAGCTACTTTCAGCATCGTTGCTGAATATCACAATTGCCAAAGTCACAACCGTTGCAGGGGGATAAAGTTTGCAGGTCAGCTTTTGAAAAGACGTTTGGACTTTTTCCAAAGAGGGTTAGAATTTTCCTTCTTTCCCTTTAAATACCCAAGGACCCCAAAAATGCAAGAAATTTACACTTTCAGAGTTTGGTTAGCAGTGGCACTCCTCGCCCGGCTAAATTACAATTGTTGCCAGGTGATTGTTGCATAATGTCATGGAAATAAAAAGCAGATGATACTGGATGTGGCTTGTATGGAAGGTTATCATGCCCCAAACTCCACTGATAATTCCTTGCAAAACTAAGCTAAGAGAAGAGAAGCAAGAAAGTTGCCTTACCTGTGTTTTACAGATCAGTTTTCAACCGTCCTCACCCTCATTCTGTTTCCTTCCTGGCAGCCTCAGGTGTCCTGTTGCCCCAAAACTCTCCAGTGATCCCCACTTTCTATCTGACACACTTTTTTTTGGAGTCATATTAGCAATTGATGCTTCGTGGTTTGAAAATGAGTCAGTGACATGATGTCAGGCAGGCAGGAGGCAAGGCTGCCAACGCAAGGGAAATTGACCCACCAGGGAGCAAAATACAGGCCAGAAACCTAACCTCAAAATGCTCTGGATCTGAGCCTTTGAAGGCTCCTAATACGAAGAGAGAGAAACGGAAGAAACCCTGTGCTAAAGAACCATCTGCAATTTGGCAAAATTCTAAAATGGTGGCCAACTGATCAGGCCTCTCTCTATAATTACAGCAAAGAAAAGATTTATTCCCCTATGAAGAAGGAGCACAAGACATCCAGCTGTTCTCAGAACAAGCCAGAGGGTACACAACACAGCACCCTCATGCAAGGTAAGATTCTACGTGGATAAATACAATGCTCCAAAACATCTAAAGGAAAGTTTAACATTGACCCTAAAATAATGGATGTCTTCCTTCGACATCAGCCATCTCAGAAACCCCTGGATTTACCTTATGGAAACCTTGCAGGTTGCATAGGATTCTGGGGCAGGTTCAACTTAATCTATGCCTGGAAAGTAAAACACCATGCATCTAAGCCTGTTAATTTCAGCACTGACAATTTTCCAAAGTTTGGGACAAAGAACTTTTCCAATCTTACAGGAAATTGAACTAGACACTACTCTAATGGAAGGTAGATGGTCTATCACTAAGCTACATCCTTTTCCCTTGATTTCTACAGGATTTCCTACTAGCATCCCTAGATGGAAAAAAAATGCCTGGAACTATATCTTACCACTCCAGAAAGTTGGCACTGTTGCATTTGTTTTTACTCAGCACACAACTAGACATTCCCTAGTGTGACAAGAGCTGCCAGAAAAAGTGGGTGTGGCCATATTAGACAAATATGCAGGCCCCATAAAAACACGCAGCATTAATCCTATAGGCACTTACCTGAGCAAAAATTCTATTGAACTCAATAGGACTTGTGTGGACTGCATTGAAAGGAACTCTTGAGTTTGAGCCCAGCATGCAAGGGTGATTGACTCCAATATCTGCACATTTATCCATGGACAGGCGAATAAAGAGATATAAGTTATCACTGAATGGCACCTTGATAGATTTGACTGGAAAAGAAACATTGATGTTGAAGTTAGACTGCTCAGTTAGCGTGTTGCTATCCTCAGTTTTGTTTCAGAAGTAAGTTCCTGGCTCTGTGCATCCATGGAGGATTCCCCAGAGGGCTGGCTGAGAATATTGGGAGTTGTAATACAAAGCAGCTGGAGGATTAGGCAACGCTACTTTAAAATCATAGTAGAGTGTGATTAAAAGCGCATTCCTCTGTGAGATGCATTAGCAAAATCTTCCTTGCCGAAGTGATTCTTAACATACATCTATTCAAAAAAACATTTTTTGCTTGAAAAAAAGAACTGGACTGTACCCAGTAATAAGTTGAGTTCTTCAAAACTATGCTGGTAGCATAATCTTCATTCCAGGCTACAAGCTGGAAATCTTTTTCAGATGGAGGCTACCCTTGATTTGTAATTTATTTTTCCTGGTCTCAGAAGGCTGAAGCGGGTATAACTTTAGATGAGACAACGCTGATGATTTCTGCCCTTTGTTGATGCAGGGTTGATGAGAAAAATGCAAGGAGTAGATGGGTGCAATTTTTAAAAAAATCAAATTTGAACCATCTATTAGACTGGCAACCCAATTAAAATTTCTAATTTGGAAAATTGGTTTCAGACATCTGCGCACACCCAGAAGGTATTTAAAATGATTTTAAAGCATCTGATGCAGTGCTCTAAAGCATTCACCAATTCACTTCAAAGACTCAGTTGAACTGTCTTCATCTCTGGACCTCTAGCAATAAACCCTATGGAAGTTGCCACTCCTATTTTCAGTGGTTTTCCTTGCCAATGAATTCCACTGGATTGTGTTCTGCTGTCCAAATTCAACAGAGTTGAAGGAAAGTCTCTGGAGGATGCAAAATTGTGGCTTAAGCGGCTATACGTAGCCCACTAGTTAGCCATGCCTTTAGGACTCAGCAAGCATTGCTGCATTTAATTCTTTCTAGGTCTTGTAAACTCAATCCTTGCCAGGATTTCTCAGGAAAAAACAGTTTTAAAGATCTGGTTCTGACCCTGGATGCAAGGAACCTGCTTGAGGATCTAGGAATGCCTCCACTTCATCTGGAGAAATCAACTGGGATACAGGAAGCAATTGCAATGAATGCCTTTGTGATTGTAGAAACTGTGTTTTGTAACTGAAACTTACCTCCATCTTCCCAGGATTAAGGAAACAGAACTACCAGAACAGGGATTTGACTTCCAATGAAATGGAAAGCCTTGTCCTCCTCTGCTTAGAAAGGAGCAGAGCCCAGCCTATGAAATAACACAACAAAACTTGCCCCCCCCACTTCATCAGAATACAGTAAAATATATTTATTAGTCATAAAATGAATGTTATATTTCCAAGGCATTTTCCAATAAAAAGCCTATAACAACCATCTCATAATATAATGTTGCCACCCTATAATTAAGGCGATGCACGATATAGCTGATTTAGCAAGCTTTCAAGAGTTTGCCGAATTGCATCCTGGGTTGTTCCAAAAAAGTCTTGTCACATCGTCCATCATCTGTACTCTCTCAGTATCAGGGGGATATAATATTGGAGAGACGTGGATTTCTGATCAGCACCTTGACTGTAGATTTTAATCCAAACGGGATTGGGGTCTCCTTTATATCTAAGCATAGCAAAGGTGCCTGGAATGGGAGAGAAAGACAGAAAATATAAAAAGAAAAAAAGAATGCAATTACAGTTGGTCAGTTGGGCAAATAAGCTGCAAAAAGAGCATGGCCATATGCGCCATGCTCAGTTCTCTGAATCGTTAAAACTTGCATTCTATGAAAAATAATATGGCATATGTTGCCAGTTAACGCCCCCCCTCGATATTTCTTTTGAATACATGCCCATTTTTAAAAGATACAGTATCGAAAGCAAGGACAGGCTCACCAAAGCACACATATCTGTGCATTTTGGAGAGATCTTTTTCTGGAAATTGGCCCTCACTCAGCATATTTATCTTCCAAGCTCCTGAACTGCCAGGACTGGTTTCTAATCTCTATTTCAGCTGCGCAGGGTTCAGAATCTGATCCTGGAAAAAAAGTACAACCTGCTCTGAAGAACCCAACACCTAACATTTGGGGCTTAAGATTGCACTCATCAATGGGCACGCCTGTACCGGTGCATCGCCATCCATGGCTGAATATTTCCAGTTGGGAGCTGGTAACTGAGTTTCAATTCTGACTCTTTTCATGACATCTTTTGCCTAATGGGCTCACTAGAGTGTGCATCCACGTGTACTTTCTTCAGGAAAGCACCAGACAACCAAGATGAGACATTATGAAGCCACCTGTCCTTTTCCTAAGGCTCAGACAACTTGAGATGCAAGGAATTGCTTGAAGACTCCCAGGAGGAGGAGAACTTCTGCAGTGGATCTACTAACATCAATGGGTCTTCTTATAATTTAGGACTTGCAGCCTGTAGGATGTCCATACCCTCCACTGAATTCACTGCAAGGTTAGTTTTCAAAGAAGCTTTATACATGCTTAAAAGTGTAGACACTGGCTGCAAATAAGGTGGCCCATCCCTGGAATAATTAAAGGCTGCCTTAACTGGAAAGCCTCCTGCCCCAGTTGCCAGTTCTGAAAAAGAGTTCACCGTTATGCTTTATCCTTTTCATGCAGCCAGAAGAACTCTCCTTATCCAGCCTTGCCTGCTTTTGCACAGAATCAGACATGAAGAGGATGCTGTGGCCAAGGATCCCCTTTGTGCAATGGGCACGTGATAGAGCAGTGGAACAATGGGGTTGACCCATTCAAGACAGCATCATTAACTCTAATGCGTTTCTGTAGGAAGGGAGGCATGCTGGAGGGAGGAAGAAAAGGCTGTCAGCAACTTCTCCTGCTTATGCAAGCGAAGCTGTCAGGGCTAAAGAATCCATAGATGGCAAAAGCTGGGCCTTGTAATTACACAGCAAACATTTCTCCTCTGCCTCCTGCTATGGCCACCTCCCAAGTGGAATGGGACGGCCCCTTTGGAAAAAGGAGAGGGCAGCATGATTGGAGAGGTCGAGGGCAGAGTCCACATGCCTTGCAGCTGGCAGGGGATGGGTTTTAATTAGCTCAATTGCAACGATCCAGAGAGGAATTTGGATGTGACTGCTGAGAAGTGAGGACAGTGGGCCATGTCAAAAGCCATGCTTTCTGGAAAAGGAGGAAAAGATTGAAGCTCCATGTGGTCACCCCTCAGCGTTTGCTCATAAGAGGTGGCCCCACCAACACAGCTTGAGAAACGTATCCATTACTGAAGGGGCCTTGTCTATACTGAAGGCTTTTTATTCCCAGCAGCTTTCTGGATGAATGGAGACCCATCCATAAAAGTGGTTGCTAACTTCCTCCATCAGGATGACCTCCAAACTAGGTATTTTCACAAACCAACAGAGGCTAAACTTTGGCTAGATTTGGAATCACACATGGCATTCCCAGGCATAGGGAAGGTTTTAGTGCTACTGAGCAAAGCATTCAGCATTCCTTCTTACTGACCATACTGACTGAGGCTAAGATGCTGTTTAACATCTCTGGAACCCCTCAGCTCCCCCAACCTTGCTTGACACATACTGCTCATTTCAAAGCATTGCTCCAGATCAATATCTGTGGCCCAGGTCCAAAGAAGCCTAATTTAATTCCCAATCACTGCAATCCTGAAAAATAACATCTACAGAGTAAAAAAAGAGCAGTAGATTTTGAGAAAGTAAATGTCGCCTATTGATGCTAATTTGAGTTGTCTATTTTTGTTTCTATCACTATTCTTTCTCCCTTCTCTCACCAATTTTTGCAGGATAGCACAAAAGAGCACGGCGGGACTTAAAGCAAGCCAAGCTCTTCATTCTATGTACCAATGCGATAGAGACATTTTGGCATAGGTATTCAGAATATGCAGACTAAATGCCAGTAACTTCTTTTTACAGTATCAACTTCCTTTGGGGGCCACAAAAGCCACAGAACAGATCCCAAACCCCAGCAAGATTAAATATTCAGCAGTTGGAAATAAATACATCTAAGTCAACTGTTAACCTGCAGAGAAGGATCAGAACTGAGTCACAGGGGCTGGCTTTCCTATCAGGGCAAGTGAATTACACTTTTTTTTTAAAAAAAGAAGGGTTTGGCTGAGCTTTCCAGCCAAATATTCTGGACCTATTTTTCAGAAGAATTTCTACAGAGGAAAAACAACAACTCAAAAACCATCAGGTCAGGTCAAGTATGCCAAGCCTGTGGCAATTGCTTTTTGCACTAATCATTTTATCACAGACCTCAGGGTAGGGAATTATGGTGAATTCTGATCATGATTTTTTGTTGTTATGTTCAGCAAAAAAGAAGTTGAAGCAAAACATTTCTAGGGACTGGAAGGATTGGTCCTGCAGTCAAGCAGTTTTCAATGGCAGAACTGCATCTTACGAAGAAGAGAACAGCCTGCTCTTTAAATCTGACATCTGCAAAAACTGCTTTCAAAGGCATTTGAAATAAAAAAAGTAAGCTTCATGTTCCTTTGGAGACCTGGATCCTGCCCAGTTCAAATGCCAGCCAGTCCACGTAAAATGTGCAGTGGTTTTCTCACTCCATCCCTGAAATGCTGAGCTTATTGTCTCTTTGCACAACCTTCTGGTCATGCGCTGTCTTTGCATTTAGAAACTTCAGAGCAAAAAGTCACCAGGTTGGAAGTGTACTAGAACAATCCTCCATTTATCCTCAGACTTCGGAATCTCTGGGTGAACAGACCTACAAAGATGAGATTTGGCCTCTCTTAATTCCTCTAAGCAACATCCCGTTACTGGCTTCCCTCACCTGTGAGTGACAGGCTGGGAAACAGCTCCACCCCAAGTGGCAAAGACAATCAGCTGACAGACACTCAACTATACCAGCCCTCCCTCCTGCCCAGAATTCTCTTTCACGCTTTCCATCTGTTGCCACCTAATCTAATTGAATTTCTGTGCTAGTCTATGACCGTGATAAAGAGTTGATTTGAATTTCTTCTTCAGACGCCAGGCCTCCTGGTCTGCTTGTGACGTTAGAGAGCTTCTAATGAGTTGAATTTAAAATGTGTCAGGACTGGAAGTAACGTATACAATAATGAAATCAACACTGTCATTGTTTTGCTTCCATTCAGCTCTTTGTTACAGCTATTTAGCCATTGGTTATTTTTTACACACCATCTTCCCTGGTACAAGCTTTTCAAAGGGGAAAGGCCCTCGATGTAAGCTGTTAGAAATCTCTTAGAGCATTGTCTTGGTCTTGCACTCTCCAACTTGTTTAAACTGTTAGGCATTCAAGGAAATTGTCTCATCCACAGCCATCTTAATAGCTATTTTACAATACTGTATCCATTATTCCCTGGCCCAGGCAGATGGAAAATGTTCATTCCTCCAACCCAAGCTTTCTTTAGTCTTTTATATTCCTCCTTAAGCATCATACATTTTTCTGATCCAGTTTCCTATGACCAAGCTGAAGGAAGAAATCTGACCTTGCCCAATATGCTCTCCATGTTTTTCCTCTTTCCATCCAAGCTTTCTCCCCACCCCTTCTGAATGAGTCACTCTCAAGCTTGGCTAAAAGCAGGGAGTTTCAGCCTAGCATGACAGACACTGTCAAAAATGGTTAATGCATCAGACAGTGTAGAATTTGGATGGGAGACAGGCGGCTTAAATTAATGCTGATCCATGGATTTTGCCAGTTGCCCTCAAGGAGAGATGAAGAACCATGGATGCCTACCAGCTATTTCAGACTACCCCTTGGGATTAGGTATACTGGCCAGGGTTGTTGGAGGGGGGCAGTGGGTTGCTGACTTCCATCCTATAGCAAACCACTTAGCCAAGCCCTATTAGGATAAAAATGTTACAGCCCCAAGATGTTATGTGTTACAGCTCTTCACAGTAGGCCCAGTCCGGAAGCAGACTTCACAGGAAATTCTAAAACACTATACTTTGCTGATCTAGGTTACAATAACAGAATCTTGAAAGCCTGACAGCATTTCCCCTTCACTCTACCTTATACCAAAGAGAGTCAAGGTGGGGCAATCTTGACTTTCTTTCTCACACTTTCTTGTTTTCCCAGGCTAAGCTACTGTAATGTTTTACTAAAGGTTGCTACCTATTTTCTCCAAGGTCATCTCTGTACTCCTTTACAGTACATGATTTGCTTTAATACCCTTGGAAGTCAAATTCAAAGCTGATGCTTCTCAGAATTGGAATGAAACTGGGAATTTTGTGTCAATATTTAAGCCTGGAGAGGTGAGTTCAAATCCTCTTCATTTGTGAAGTCATGACATTGCATTCAGTGACAGTTATATATAGAAGGATGGCCACTTGAGAGCACTCAGATTGATGGTCATGAACTATAGGAATCTGTTTTCAGATTATTTGACCTGCTTTTGCCAGCAGCCAAGACTTTTGTCTATAAATCTCTGTTGTTCCATGTTTATGTGGCAACAAAAAAAAAAAAAAAACCAAAAAAACCCCCAACCACAAGGAATGTGGAACAGATGCAAAAAAAGGACAGCGTCCAACTCTTCTGCTGAAAATACATCCAAGGCAGAAAAGGACTTAGCAGGCAGATGGGAAAGTCCAGTCACTGACTTACTTTTTTTTAAAAAAGAAAAGAAAAAAGAAAATGAAAGGGGAAAGGCAGGGGGAGGAAACATACCAAGTTTTATTGGAAAGTCTAGCGGCACCACTCGTTTTAGTCTGTCACCAAAAAAGAAAAAAAGAAACATGTGGTCTACTTGGGGAGGAAAGAAAACCTGAAGAGAAGAACTAGGACTATTTTCAGATGATCATTCTTGGAAACTGCTTGGGCTAACGGTAAAAGTCTTGGAAATGAACATGCTTAATAACAACAGCTATTTTAAAAGATTTTATCTATGGAATGGTGGGAAAGAAACCATTAACTGCAATGTTGCTACCAGCTTCCCACAGTTGATAATATCATTAAGAAGAACTTGCTGGATCAGACTTAGCTTTCTGTCTTACGTGACAAGCCATCCTGATGCAATCAAGAAGCTTTTAACCATGGGCAGGAAGGCAATGCTAATCTTTCATTGTTAATAAGATTAGTAGTCATTAATAGCCTTTTCATCCATGACTGGGCTTCCTTTCAAACAGCCTACTTGAGTGCCCATCCCCACATGTCATGGCAGTGCGTTCCACAGTTTAACTAACTGCTGCTGGATAAAGAAACATTTCCCTCTACCTCAGTGTTTCTCAACCTGGGCAACTTTAAGATGTGTGGACTTAACTCCCAGAATTCCCCAGCCAACACACTAAACTATGCTGACTCTTCTTTGCATACATTCATATACAGTATTGAATGATAGACCTACCTTATCAAAAGCCACCCCAGCATGGTTATCTACGTCTGCCATCCTGAGAAACTGAATCCAGATCCGAATGTACTTCATTTGAATGTCTACTCCTGACAGCACACTGAAATTAGATATAAAGAGGGTACTTTGAATATAATTAATTACAGGATGTCAATAGGCAAGGGTTACTTGGAATAGAATATGATCAGCTACTTGAACTTTTGCATGGGACAAAGACATTAATTTTCTAGAATTTCTTAGTAGATTCAGCACCTGGCCTGTCTTCTCTGGGCCTGGAAGCTAAGCCCAGTTGGATGTTGTTGATTTAACACCTTTATCCCCATGTCACATTGGCCCATATACAGCTGTTGGAAGGCTGTAGAACTGCTCTCTTTAATGTGGTACCCTCTGGATTGCAACAACCAGTACTCCTAGGTAGCCCAACCAATGTCTAAGAATTCTGGGGGTTGTAGTTTCAACCCATCTGGAGCATGCCTTGTTGGAGAGGACAGCTCCAGAAGAAGAAGATGATGAACCACTTCAATTGATTGGCAGTCCTCATGCAGGACCTGCAAGAGTACATGTCTTGAAACTAGCAAAGATTCATGAGAAGACACTGGTCTGGAATCTCTATATTTGGAGTTACACTCAACAGCTGCTGTTATTGCAAAAACCACATATATAACACCCTTCACCCTCCAACAAGGCATCAACTTCTAAATCTTGAGAGGCATGGCCTTTGGTCAGCCAACTCTAAATGCTCATACAAGGCACTTGCAAGGGATGTCAGAGCATCTGAAGCAGATGGGCATTTGTGCAGCTGTCTTCCATAAGCCTCCCCAAGCTATATGGCTAGCCACAGCTGGAGACACAACACTGGCCCTTTCATCTGATCTAAAGTGGCAATTATACTCTTAAACAAGAAGTCAGCAGTGCATCCTTAAAAAGATGGTTTAAGGGTAACAATTTTGTACAACTGTTAATTTGAAAGGAGCAGAAAGAAATGCCCACCATCGTTGGGAACCTGAAAAGCTACACTGAGTAACAGTTTGGTGTGCGAGTGCTTGACTTGATTGGATAAATCTCCAATCTGCAGTAAGAATCTTAGACTGATTCTTTGGAATGGGGCGGGAAGGAAATAGAGGGGAGCAGAAGGGAAGAGGAAATCAAGAAAAAGCAGCAGCCAGCAACTTTAGAAAATATTAACAAATAGCACCAGCCTATGTGATCAACATTTGAATTTGCCTTTGTTCAAAAGAAGGGCAAAGAGGATACAATTAGGCCAAGTTGTCTTCTGTTGTTCTGCCACTATACAGATCTCCACACCTGTTCTTCTTTTCAACATCGAAATATTATATAATATATGAATTCAGACTGTTAATTCAGACCACGCCATTCATTAGCATTGGCAGAATCCTGAATGATGGATTCCCTATCTGCAAATTTGGTTGGCAGCATGTTATTTATGCTGTTTTGGTGTTTCACAAAGAAGCAGACCAGCCATCCCTAAGCTTGAAACATTCCTTGCAGCGAGCAGATGAGAACAAGGTAGACTAAAGATGGCTGTAGCTTCTATCAAAGCAGGATTGATATTTTGCATATCGTTATGGCGACCCTATTTTCTTGGAAAAAATAAAGGAGAAACCTGAAAAAAGGGCAAATCTGAAGAGGTTCATAAGGATAATTTTTTTTAATTGTTTATGTTTATAACTTTGCTTTAAAGAGGAAAATTCAGGAGCAAAGCCAAGAAAAACTACAAAAACGCACATTCTAATAAAAACATCTAAAAGCAAACCGTATATGTAAATTTATGTTAAAAAGACAATTTAATTTCCGTATTTTTCACATGAATGTGCATTCAGTGCACTAAGTGGTACCATTTGTACTGTAAAAGTTAAATGACCAAAATAAAGGGCAAAGCGGAGTTTTTGAAAAATAAATCAATCTAAAGGACAGCTTTCTGAAATAAAGGATGCGTGGTCAATGTACATATAATACATTTATTCCCTCCACTCCCCGTCACAGATGATAGCCATTTCTGATTTGGTTTGGTATATCCTACGATAAAGGGCTTTTTGCATGACTTAGTGTGTGGTTAACCATACTACAATTTTTTATTTAAAAAAAAAATGGTCTGCCTCCATGGAAAAAAAATGCCAAGCACCCAAAGGAATTTTAATTACATTTGTTAAGGGCTTGCAAGTGAAGTATTTTCCAAAACATGTGTCTTTAGAATGCGCTATGTAAAACAAACATGTTGCCAGAGCGCAACAAAAGGAAAGACTGAAGAACTCACAACACAAGCGACAAACATTCTTGTGTTTATAACATGATAACATTCTTTGGGGGCTTCTCAATCTTCCCTAAGAAATCAATCCAAAACAGAGACAGAAAAAGTTAGCGTATTCGCACCATTAGAAAGGAAATGGTAACAGCAGAATATCCATTTTTAATAAGCAAAATTCAGGAAACCTGAAAAAGGCTTGAGCCTCTAAGACAGAAATGCAAAGATTTTTTGCTGGCTGGGCCCACAATTTTGTTTTATTTCTTTTTCCAGTGACCACTAGCCACAGTGGGCAGGGAGTAATGTAACAACACTGTTGGACAGCCAGGCTGGAAATCAGGAGGCTTTTTATTGGTTTGAAGGTACATAAAGCCTATGTGAGCCTTAATATACCAAGTTTTCTTTTGAAAACTTGAAAATCGGCAGGACATCACACTGCTATTTGATAGGTTGTATTAAATTTCAGTGGTCTGATCCCAGGGAAAGAGAAGGCTCTAAAGGCCAAAAGAAAAACATTTCAGTGGTCACATGTGGCCAATGGATTGTCCGCCACCAGATAAGAAGGATGTGCCTGGCTCTATTCAGGATGGAGTACAACAGAGTCCAGGGTAATGAGTGTGATAGTAAAAAAATATTATACCATATTTATTTCATCCTAAAAGTGAAGTTGACTGTAAGCAGCCCTTTCTAGATAGGGCATTTGGAGAAGTAACACAACTTGTCAGCATAGCAGTCCTGTTTTGAGAAGAAGGATGAAGACTAAAACTATCCTAAGTTAGTTTGGTGTAGTGGTTAAGGCATCAGGCTAGAAACCAGGAGACTGTAAGTTCTAGTCCCACCTTAGGCCTGAAGCTAGCTGGGTGTCCTTGGACCAGTTACTTTCTCTCAGCCCTAGGAAGGAGGCAATGGCAAACTACTTCTGAATCCTTGCCAAGAAAACTGCCAGGAGTCAACACTGACTCAAAGACACCAAAAGAAGTCAATGATAGCATCTCAGTCCAACTGCAGGATGACCCATCCCGACAATTTCTGGATTGTCCTTTGAAGGACAACTCATCCACTCTAGATCTTCCCATCCTTTTTGTCTTCTAAGGGTATCAAAGGAAATGTGGGTACCATCCCAAAGAAGCACCTCACTGACCACACAGATGCAGCCCCAAAAGAGGTGAGGCTCTTCTCCTGATGGATTTGAAGTGCAACTCCAGGGAAGACCAGGGGACACTGAGGCTTTTGTTTTAAGGCATTTGCAGCCATGCTGGAAGAAGTAACTAAATCCCTTTTAGGCTTCATGTATTTGAAGAGAACAAAGAGATACTTAGCCACAGCACATCAGAAAGCAACGAAAGCCAAAATACAGCCACAGCTTGGAGCCAAAGCACCATTACCACATTACCAAATTTGTAGTCACTTTATATCTGAAAACCATACAGGCCAAAATAAAAACAAAAGTGTCTGGTTTACCAAAATTGCACACCTACAAAAATAGCAAGCACCAGCCTTGCAAAGCAGCTTAAAACACAAATAAGCTGCAATTGACTGGTACACACTAGCATGACCACTCAAGGCTACATTAACTATGCTATAAAAGTACATAAGTTAAAGTAGCAGCATTCTAGACTGAACCATTTACAAGGGATGAGCAAAAGAAGCACATTTTTGAAATACCCTCTCTTCGATCTTGCAACCTGGACTAACCCTTGACACTGTGCAAACTCCCTGGGCGATTAGGCAGAGAAGATGGAGCCTCAGCAGCTCTAGAGATTCTGGTTGAACCCCAAAGCCCAACATCCAATATCAAAAATCTTGGAGCAAGCAAAGTGTGTCATGCTGGTTATGTTTACACATTATACTAAGCTGTGGTTTGTTAACCACTGTGGGTTAATTAAGCGCAATTGCTTAGTTCCTCCCTTGCTTTAAAGCAGAGACTCTGGCTTGCAAATCATAATTGCCTGAGTTCACACAACCACTAAGTGGAATAAACCACAGTATGACTTGGCGTGATGTGAGAACCCAGCCACTATATCTGTTCTTCGTATTTATGCCCCACCTGTCTTACAGGGAAATCACCCCACTGTGCAGTGTGATGTCTTCATAACATAATGGGCTTGCTGTAAACTTTATGCAGCTCTGTGCAGTGGACTAATACAGTTATCCCCATATTAAAGATGGAAAGCTGAAAGAACAGCTTCCATGCAGTTCACAAGGGCCAAATGTGAATGGCACTTTTATTTATTAGCAAATGCTAGATTCTTTCTCTTTCTATCAAGTGTTCTTCTTGCTATAAATAGTTGAGATGTCCTCTGCCTAAAACAAATTAGGACTATTCAAGAGACCCAATTCCCAAAATGTCTACTTAGCAGAAATGGAGGGCTATTCAAGTCCAAGGTCATCCAATTTGGGATCAGGTTGCCAATTCAGTTCGGAGCATCAGATCATCTGAATCAGTTTGATCTAGTTCAAACAATGTGTTCACATGCATTTCTGGCATCTAACTATTCAACTTGATTACTCACGTTAAATAGTTAGAATACCCCACTATTTGGTAAATAGACATAAATAGCCATGTCAATATTACATTGGTGAATTACAAGGTGTCACACATAGTTCATGGGTTGGAAAGTGGAGGAATCAAAATTACAGGATAAAATGATGCCACTCAAACCTTGAAGCCTCCTACTGATAGGCTATCCCTATAAAACTAAGTCCTTCACTTCACAATAATAAAACCAGCTAAAAACACAAGGTTTTGTTTCCAAACTCACACATATTCTTGATAAGAGGCAGTTAAAAATCTTCTTGGGGAAAAACAAAAACCCTCCCCAAACAGATTAAAGCTA